ATTTGAAGTTCTAGAGATAAATTACTTAAATCCTGGTTTGGGGGGCTGGGGATATAGCTTAGTTGGTAGAGTGCTTGCCTTGCATGCACAAATCCCTGTGTTTAATCCCCAGCACCTCAAAAAACAAAGACTGGTTTTGACATTTACAATCTTGTGATTTGGGGGATGTCTTAACCCCTCTTCAGTTTTCATATCTGTCAAATAGATATAACTTTACTATTTCATATTAGAATATTAGAAAAACATAGAACAGTACATCATACTCCTTAAGTGTAGCTATTTTTACTATTTACAAATTGAAACAAAAGCATTTTATTTTTCACAAATCTAACTCCAATTCAATTTTATTCAATTCAACTCAACATTTCTTTTTGAATWGCTTACTATATTCCAAGTATCAAGTTAAGCTTAGGAGAAAAATGATGCCAAAACATGATCTTTGTCTTCATAGAATTTATAGTTTAGTTTAGTGAGAAGGCAATGAATAATCACACAAATAATTATAAATATGAACCACAAGACATGCTATGAATTACAAGTAGAGGGTGGCATGAGAGAATACCAATCTAGTCTTCCTTAAGAAAGCAATAATCGAAAGGTATGTATGAGTTTGGGGAAGTTGGAGAAAGATTTTTGGGCAGAGGGCTCAAGTGCAAAGACTCTGAAATGGGAAAGAACTTGGTGACTTAGGAAATTAAAATGGGCCAATATGGCTGAGTTACAGTGAGAGAGGAAGAAATGCAGTTCCCTGAAATGAGTCTGGAGAATTACACAGGGACCACATCATACAGGACCTTGCAAGATGAAAAGCATCTGAAGAATTAAGTTCTTGGAAGTCGGGTTGAGGACYTTAGATCAGGGTGGTAGTGTTGGAAAAGAAAGAAGTGAACAGMGTTAGAGATTTGGTAATAGGGAAAGAGTCAATCATTTAGCCTGCTTTTCTGTATTCATAGTACCACTAAGTAATCAAATAACTGAAAAAGAGAAAATTCCCATTGAAGAATCACTGTCGCTAATAAATGAAGAATGATAGAACTATATCACCATTTAAAAATTCCTAATGTATGGGCTAGGATTATTGCTCAGTGGTAGAGCGCTTGCCTCACACACATGAGGCACTGGGTTCACCACATAAAAATAAATAAAATAAAGATATTGTGTCCATCTTTAAAAAAATCCTTTAAAAAATCTCCTAGTGTATGAATGGATCTAGGCATTACTCATGGGTGATTGCTAAAATTACAAAAAGAAAAAAAGAGAGACACATTTTATCTCTTCTAATGGAAAACTACTCTACCACCTATGAAGTAATCTTGCTAAGAATTAAAATCAAATCTGATAAAACATCTAGATCCCACTACCTATTTACAAAAATGCAAAGGATAAGAGAATATGTTAAATACACTGTAGGGATACAGCCAATAAAATCTAGATTGTGGCAAATATTACAGGACAAAAACCTGGTCCCTAAAAAGTGACTGGGGGAAAAAGAGAAGAAAAAACATATAGGTCTTAAAAGATATATCACCCAAGCCATAGTATAGCTCCCCAACAAACTAAAATAATAATATACAGTAAATATATACAGTAAAACTAAAATAATAATATACAGACAGAAAGCAAATAGGTTAGTGATTGCTTAAGGAGTTGGGGAAAAATAGGTAGTAACTGCTAATGGGTATGGTTGCTTTGAGGGGGATGAGAATGTTAAAAAATTGACTACAGTGATCATTTTACAACTCCCTRTGAATATACGAATAATTGTGTATCTTAAGTGAGTGAATTTATTGTGTGTGAATTATATCTCAATAAAGCTGGCATATGTATATTGTGTATACATTATAAACTATGTAGATATGTGTACTATGCATAACATTTTACAGGTACTAATATATATTTTTTAAAAAGAAGATATCTGAGGAAAGAGGGGAAATTGGCCAAGGTATGGAGTATTTCTACACAGAGGGACCAATATATGCAATGCAAGAAAGAGCATGGCATTTTAGATGTGATAAAAGGAACTCTATGAAGGGCATGTTCCTTAAAGGAATATATCAAGAGATGAAGCTAAAGACCTAGGAAAAGCCCAGATTGTGGAATATTGCAAAACCCATGCTAAGGATTTGGGACTTTATTCAGAAAACAATAGGAAGCCATTGTTAGGTGAAATGATTTCTATGCAGTACAACTCTGATTACCATATAMATAATGAGGATAAGAGGGAATTTATTTAGGAAACCAGATAAGTGTTATTATAATTCTATATGCACACACTCTTGTCATCTTATTTTAGAATGGTGACAATGAGAATGGGCAAATTCAACAGGATTTGTTTGCTGATGGCTTGGAATTGAGATGCAATAGAGTAGTAAAGTAGCAAAGCTGACTTACCTAACTGGGGGGATGGTGAAATGGTAACAAGGGGAAGAGATGCAAGTAAGGGAAGGAGATTAATTTTTGTACTTGAAAGTATATAATACTGAAGCAAGACTGACTTTTACAATAATGAGTTCTCCTCATTRAAATAATTCAAGGCAGACTAGTGATCTTCCTGTTGAGTAGAAAGCATTCTTGCTCTGAAATGTTTCGGACTATATAACTAATAATAACCATTCAGCAATAATGGTCTTACCAAAAGAAAGTGACATTTGTGCCAGAATCTGGTCCCTAAAACAGCTTGTGGCTGAAATGAAACCCCTGGAATTTCCCTGGAATTTGAATTCCTCAGAATCATCCACATCAGATTAATATTTAAAGGTTCCTCATACTATCTAGTGTGTTTCACCTGTGTACAGGCTTCTGATTTCACTAAATCTTCCCAGAGGTGTTATTTAACCTAGTGTCAAAGAAAGGTGTATGTATTCCAGCAACCCAAAGACAAGTCTCTTCTAGCTCAGGAAGAAAAAAAGTGGGAGGTTGCAGAAGCCACAGAAACTGACTCTGCCCAAAGTCAAAATAGAGAAGAGGACTCCTGCAATAGTTAATCTTCTTTGTGTTTTTTCTCGCACCCTCTCCAAGCATCTATCACTTTGCCCTTAAGGACCCAACAACCATTTGTTGGTTTAATAAGAGTCTTCAGATTTGGAGTTGGGTGTAGAATGGGAGAATGATAAAAATTTTATATGTAAAATGATAAATAGTAAAAGCACAAAAAGGATGGAAAGATAGAAGAGACAAGAGATTAAGAAAGCAATTTTTGTGTTAATGTTAGTACTGCAGTGAAAGGCAACTGCCACCTCAGTCCCTTGAGACACAATTAGTGAAGACTTGCCTAATGGTCTTTTATTGACTGTCCTATTAAATGCTCTAGGAGAGGCAGACTGGATTTATTTGACTACTTTATTCCCACCAGATTCTTCGCCAGTTGTTTACCTGGTACATCCATTTTCACCCGCACCCCATCAGGGCCTGGACCTCAGGCACCTTTCTGAACCTTGGTGGGTAAGCATTCTGCCTTCTTTCCCTTCCCCTTCTTCAAATCTCAGTGCAGAACTGAGCCTAATTTACATCTWTCTGATTTTGCCCATCTGTAAAATGGGAATAATAAAAATGATGGTGGGAATAATACTAAAAACCTCTAAGTTGGGTTGCAGCAAAAATTAGATAACATAAACTTGAATACTTGTTGGAAACTACAAACTATAAACAGATCTTGGTTTTATTGCATTTATTTCTAAAGCAGATTTCATTGGTTAAAATTAGGATGCTTGGGTGTTTGGCTGCTTGTCTCTCCGGAGAGGATTAATGTGAGWTGTTGCCATGTGTTTCAGAAGAAAAATCCACTCATTTCAGCGGACGTCAACCTACCTTACACAAAGTCTTTGGAAATAAGTCTTTCGGCTTAAAAGCTGGAGGTGTGAGAGAACCAAGTATGCAAATRCAGAACAGCTTGTCTCAAGAGCTCGGCTCCAGCCCGCACCCTGGCACCCAGCCTGCTTCCCAGCAAACGCGGCGGGCGCACTGCTACCTGCTGCCCAGCCCCCCCCCCCCCAATCGCCGGGTTTGGGTCCACAGCACATACCTGTCAGGCTTAGGGAATCAACACTTAACACGATTGATTTTGCAGGTGACCAAGAACTCTGAACTCCCCCCCCCGCCCCGTAGGCGATACCAATCAGTTCGAGGTGACCCACACATTTCCTCCCCAAAAGGCCAGAGAAGTAAGCGAAGCTGTAATAAAATGATAGATTCACGATTGTGGGAGGAATAAGCAATAGGTTGTGGGTTTTTGTTGATTTTCTTTTCCAGTCGCTCTAGGTGTCCCTGGAACAAGGACTTGGTAGACCATTTTCCTAGTCATTTCAAGACCACACTTCCTGCCGGGTCGATCAGGAAATTGCTAGAACACCCTTTGGGCGCTAGGAGGATGCTGAAGGAGCCCAGGCAGTTAGTGAATCGAAGATACCGTAAGGGGGTCGCCGTCCGCCGGGCAAGCGGGCACGGGAGGTTCACGGCTTCTCCGCGCCTCTCCCCTTGGCGCCGGGGTGCCTCTTGGCAGGCCTCAGTTTCCACTTGTGAAAAATGGCCACACTACCAGTTCACCAGTTTTTGGCCTCGCTACAGAAAACCACCAGAGAAAACTGGAGTTTCTTTCGTTCTTAGTTCAAAGATTAACAAAATAAAAAAGTAATGCTTTTCTCAATGTACGAGGGGAGCCGGATGAAAGGGCGGCTTTAAGAAAGGACAAACTGGTTGCGATTATGGCGCTTTTTTCATATAATTCTGCACGTTTACATATAGGCATAAGTGCACAGGCAGTGTCAAGATTGAAGGTGTTTCTGTGTCAGGCTGACTCCACCGAGCGAGAAGAACCAATACCTCACAGTTCAAGTCCCGGGGACCTGGAGGTCCTTTTCTGCGCTTGCGCAATAACCGCGGGTTTCCCCCAACCTCACCGCCCCCMGGTCCCGCCCTGAGATCGTGCGGCCCCGCCCACTTCCCCAGCCCGGCCGTTCGCGCAGAGCATTGTGGGACACAAACAAAGTGCCCCCAAACAGGCTGGAGTGAGCCGAGCGGCAACGGCGGCGGCGCCGGCCCGCACGCGCGCGGCGGCGGCTCCCTCCCAACCTCCCCCTCCCCTTCCCTCACTCCCCTTCCCCTTCCCCACCCCGCCCCGCCGGGAAAACGCGAGCCGTCGCCGCGCTYCCCAAACCGCCGCCTGCCCTCGGCCAACCGCCCCAACGGCCGCCCGCGCGCGGCTACCCGCGCCCCCTCGCTCCTCCCCTTAGGCCCCTCCGGGAGCTGGAGGTGCTTTCCTGGTCTCCGCCTCGCGCTCTCCCACCTCGCAGGCACGCCGGTGGGCTCTGCCGCCATGCCCCAGCCACAGGCTGCTCACGGGCCTAGGCGCGGCTGCCCGAGATAGGGTGCCCTGAGCCTCCCGGGGGAGGAGAGGGAGCCAGCCGCGCGCTCCGCCCCCTCCCCCCGGGCTGTCGCCGCCACCGCCGCCGCCACCTCGCCGCCTCAGCCTGGCGGGGAGGAGCAGCAGCAGGCCTCCGGGCCCCGGCACCGCCGCCCGCAGGTAATGGGGAAGGGAAGGCTAAGTGGGGGATGACTAGCCACTGCGCGCCGCTGGTGCACTGGGGTGCTCCCGCCTGGGAAGTGCCACCACGCGTCGCCCACCTGGGCSCAAGAGGGAAAGGAAAACCTGGTCTCTGACCCGCATCCGCGCCGGGAGACACTCCTCAGGGTCCCCCCAGTGACATTTAATCCTTCAGGGAGAAGGCTGGCCTTGAGCCCCGCAGTCCAGGAGCAATTACCCCGATCTTTAAGGGGTACTCATTTGTAAGCTTATCTGCCCAATACCAAACCCAAAGCAGGCGGAGGTGTTGATCCCTCTCACCTCACCTGGTCGACCTGCAAGCCTAAGACCTGTTTGTTGGCTCCTCTCCCCTGCTGCTTTTTCTCTTAATAGTTGAAAGAAAAATATGGCACTTATTTAAAAAAGAAAAAAAATGCAGACACCTCTTTTTCTTCCTTACCTGAGGATCACTCTACATCTGATCATTTTACTGCCAGTCTAACCAGAAAAAGGGATTACCTACAAGTGAAATGAGTTCGTTAAAATTGATGAAAAGCAATTTGAATGTTTGTAAATTGTATGAACCTTAACCAGAATTTAGTATAAAAGCCAATGACCGTGTACTTTTTTGGAACTTAGAGAAATGAAGAAAAAACTTATTTTCGATTTCAACATATAAGTAGATTATCCGTTGAGGTTAGGGAAAAAAACTCTCCTTAACTTCCACTTATTTTCTTAGTGTTTTGTTTGGAGATAGGCTAATACTAATACTAAAACCAAATCATACAGTACAACAGATACCAAAGAGTTTGGATTGGTAGGGACTTGACGATTTCCTTTTCCTAGGGTTTCAGTGGAATTATTAATTTAAAAAAAAATAAAAGAGTCTTCATTTTTTTCCTATTACTTTGACTTCGAGGGGATATTTAATTTTATCTAATGTAGTTTCCCCTTTTCATGAAATGTGAAAGTAATTAATCTTTTTCAGTAGCCTTACATTTAAGGATGATTACATCCATTAATTATGAAAGTTGGATTTACTTATTTGTGCAACAGGGCTAGGTTTTACTTATGTAATCTTTAATTCTCAGAACGATCCAATGATGCAGATTTGTTACTTGAATTTTACAGATGTAAAAGAAACTTAGTAATGTTAAGTAATTTGCCTTAGGTCACACGAGTAGTAAGAGCTGAGATTTAAGCCCAGATATAATTCCAGTGTAGGTGTACTTTCCTCTGTACCTCTCAGTAGAGGTATAGTTTCTTTTAACTTTGTCATGAAATTTTTCGTTTTATAGAAGTGGGGGGGGGGGGAATACATGAATACCCCAGAACCTAGATTCAGTGATAAACATTTTTATCAAGTTGTTACCCTCTCTTTCTTTCCCTGTTATGTGTTGTGTAACCATTCCAAAGTAAGTTGGACACGTCTCCACCTTTAAATATTTCAGCATTTTCTAAGAATATATTCATCTACTAACCCTGATCAGTAACAATACCTATCAAATAGCTTATTCAATTAATGTATTCACATTTCCTCAATTGTTCCAAAGTGTCTTTGAGCTCCCCCAACCCTTCAAGATTTTGTATTTGGTGATTAAGACTAATCCCTTCTGTAAAAAGTATAATACTTACTCTTTCATTTTCCTGACATCTACCTGACCAAACCAGATGTATAATACACCCACATTCTGGACTGCCTATGTCCCAGTGGTGTTATTTCATTTATTCCTCTTTCCCCTTGAAATTTCTGTTAACTGGAAGTTTGATCTTAAGAAAAGCTTGATTAGCTTAAAGTAAAACTTTCTTTGGCAAGAGTATTTAATAGGTAATGCTGTGTACCTCAGGTTGCATCATATAGGAAATATATAATGTCAGATTGCTACACTGTTAATGATGTTAAATGTGACCAGTTGATTGAAGTGGTGACTACCAAATCTGTTGTAAAGGTGTGTGGTTTGTCATTTTGTGGTTAGTATGTAACCGAAGGGTAATACTTTGACCCCAAGCAAATATCCTATTTCTAACTACATTTTGCTTAGTAATATTTAGCATTCATTAATTGCTTTTGCTTAAATCAGTTTATTGGTATTTCTCTGTAGGAAAGATTTACTCCATAAAGTGGGAATAAGCTAAATTTTCTTGTAAAAATGCATATTAAATGCTTGCTTTCATCACTTCAGTATTCAGAGTAAAGAGCTGAGAAAATAGTCGCCCCCATGGTGGCAAATAGATTTTCTTTAGTATTTTTGGAAAAGATACTACTATGGATTTGTGGGGGGGGTATTTTTTTTTCATTGTTTTAGAACCATTATGATCCTTTCTCTTTTGGGTGACCAAATTGTCCCAAATTTGATAGTAGAAACCCTTTCAAGCTGGCTGCTGGCACAAGATATCACATGCTTCTTTTGTACTTTGTTTGCTCCACATCTGGCAAGGGCTGTTTATTCAAGGTGTCTTGGGTCTTTTTAGTTAGAAATAGCACATAGAAACCAAGATCTGTGTATTTGGCATATAGATTGCTGCTAAGGTGTCATTTCTTCTAGGCCCTTTGAGAAGAAAGAATTAAGAAATGGTTTTCTGCTTGTTTGTTTAATCAGAATTTCATAATGATATRTCCTATTGAAATTTAGCATAGCAGAATTTTTCTTCTTTGATTCTGTTTTTGTCTTTTTGTATAAAAATCTTGCTACCAAATTAAATTAATATACTTATTTGCTTTCTACTGTATACATAAAATCATTTTTAAATTACAATACCTATACTACTGCTTCTGAGTGAAGTTGGGGATTTTTTTTTGCATTTCTTTTTGTCCCTGAAATATATTACACAAAAGATGTGTAATCAGTACTATTTCCAAAGTCACTTAAAATACTTTTCTCTGGTCATACTACCAACTTGATATGATTCATTGGTTTCATATTTTTGGGGGGGGGGTTATTTTTGAATTTGTAAAATATATACACAGCTCAAAAATCAAAATAATGTTTCCAGTTATACTTTTTAAAAAATTTACTCAAATTAGGTGAGATTTTTTTCCTTCAGATTTTAATAYGAAATTTATTTCTTGCATAGTCCATGAGCAAGTTAGATCAAAGAGCTGTCAGATTATTTTTTAGAGCATTAATTATATATAGTATTTTGATCATTTTGACAATAGTACATGCAAGAAATTTGATTTCAATCCCATTTCTCCCCCCTTTTCCTTTCCCTCCTCCCTCCCCCTCTTCTCTTCTGCTGACCTTCCTCTCACGCATTTACTTTTGATTGGTATTTTCTGCACATGTGTTTGTGCATGCGTGCGTGTGTGTGAATATATACAGGTAATTCATCTTGGTTCATTTATGTATGTATGTAACAAGCTATTATTTAATTTGTTCCATAGTTCTGCCCCTTTCCCTTCTTTCCTTCCTCCTCCTTGTTCTCCTTCAAATTAGTTTTTTAAGGTAAAATATTCTTTTCTTTTGCCATACTCCTTTTAATATCTACTTGCATATTTTAATTGTAGAAGGATGAGCCATAAACAAGGTATAAAACTTAAAGCCATATAGTAGTGCTTTTAAATTAGATTCTGATTCTTCTGGCAAAGAGAAAGCACAAAGACTAATCTTTAGAAGTTAGAGAAATAGATTTCATGCTTTTGCAGATGTCATGTTTTAAATAAAAATTCCATAAAAGTAGAACTGCAACTTTTACTTTGCAATCAGGTCTTTAAAGAGACATGTTAATTGGTAGAGGTTTTATGAATCCATATACTTTTATGCCACACAACAAAACTGGTACACATATGCTAGCTGCAAAAATAAAGGCATTTAGATGTGTGATCAGTGAAGATAACACATTTTGTTTGGAATGAACCAAATTTGATAGAAATCACAATTATATGGTCTCAGATACTATGTTCGGATGCTTTTAAGAGGGAGCACTGGTTGTCTGAAGCAGGCAGAACACAGATAGTTTATTGACCTCCTGTCAACCACCTGATGAAAAGCCCACAGTGTGAATGTATTCTGTGTTCATCATCACTGCTTTTAGTACCAGAATGAGCATCTGTTTCCTTCAGGGAGTAGAATGAGATGATGGAGAATACATGTGCTTTATACCTATTCACCCTCATTCTGTCTTTAATCTCAGTAATATAAACGCACCAAGATTGTTGGAATAAATAAGGTGATTTTAAAAATGGTACAAACATTTACAAGGGTGTGTAGCCATGCAGAAGCTAAAAAGCCTGTTGTAGTTGACTAAAATATGGTGATGATGATGATTATATTTGTTGTGCCTTTTCTATAAACCAGGTATGCTAAACATGTTATACATCATTTCAGTTAAATCTCACATTAACCCTTCCATATTGCTACTAGTATCTTATCATTCGAGTAGGGAAAGTGATACTTCGAGTAGATTAAATGACTTGCCCAGGGTATCTCATCTAATAAGTAACCAACCCATGTTTCAAACTCAAGTTAGCACTTGGCTGCTATCTACACCTCACACTAAATGTGACAAGTTGTAAAATTGAATATATTTCAATCACGATGAATAGGAACCACATAACTGATGTTTATTCTGTAGGAAAATTGAGATCAATCGTTTGTCGTGTCTATTACACATATTTATGTTTTCCTTTCTAAGATATATATGAGAGTTCCTGGTCCCCTGCTACAAGAACTGCATTTTAGATCACGTTTTAATAGATGTTTTTAAAGTATCAAAAAATAAAAAGTAAAGTAACAAAAATCAAGATGAATTGATGAAGGGGTAGATGAGTGATAAGACAAGTAGGGTATAATAGAATGTAAATAATAGCATATAGATATGGTTGTTTAGGCATAACAGTATTGACAGCTGTTTAAAACTCAGTAACAGTCAATGTGTCCTGTATTCTGTCAGCAATTATCCTCTGAAACTCCTAGTAAGTCTTCCTAGCCTTTTAAAGAATAAAACAACTTTGTCACTGAAAAGACTGTTGTAAAAGGGGTTCCCTCATTAACTTAGGA